ATAAACATATACAGGAAGACTTTGTTGTACCAATAAATTAAGTTAAAAACAACATATTTATTTACATGTGTTGGTGGCGGTGGGGGGCTATGTGTTCATGAATGCAGATGCATAAAAAGCACTGGATCCCTGCTGCTGGAGTTACAGGCAGCTGCGAGCCACCTGACATGATTGTTGAGACTTGAACTTTGTTTCCCTGGAAGATCAGAACACACTCTTACCACTGAACACTGTTTCTGTTGGTTTGTTTTTTTTGTTTTCAGACAGGCTTTTATGCAGTCCAGGCTGTCCTTGAGTTGGCAGACTCTTCCCAGCACTCTTCCCAGCTGAGAATCCATACATGAGCTTGCACCAAGCTGAGTTACTGTTTTCCACCCAGCAAGGACAAGGCTCAGAGAACAAGGCCAGGTTCTGTGAGATATACTCAGTACTCCAAGAGGCAACAGGACGGACAACTGACCAACATGCCGGAAAGCTTTAGTTGTTGACTTGCTTTAGTTTTACTTTATTTCTTAATTTTTATTTATTATGATTGTGTGTTTATGTCCTTGTGTGCCAGGCATTGCCTGTGGGATGGTGGTTCAGGTCACCTGGCTTGGGGACACCAAGCTCAGGGACACAGAACATCTGGCCCTCTCAGAGTCAGCCAACTGTTAGGTGGGGTAGTGGGAGGCCATTCACTTCGTACCCACCAACATCTGCAGTCCTTTCTGGAAAGAAATGAATCAAGTTGTCTCTGTTGCCTAGTAACAACCGCTGGCTATCCAGGAAGGTGAGATGTGGAAGCTGGAGAAGGGATGTAGTCCATAGTGATGCAGCTGTTTTACCTATGGAGCCGACTAACAGGCTGACTAACAGGCTGAGGTTTTTTTTTTTTTTTTTTTTTTACAAGACAGAGTTTCTCTGTGTAGCCCTCGCTGTCCTGGAACTCACTCTGTAGACCAGGTTGGCCTCGAGCTCAGAGATCCACCTGCCTCTGCCCCCAAATGCTGGGATTAAAGGCATGGGCCACTACTACCCAGCTCTTTTTATACTTATTGAGACAGGTTCTCAAAAAAAAAAAAAAAAGAAAAGAAAAAGAAAAAGCCGGGCGGTGGTGGCGCACGCCTTTGATCCCAGCACTTGGGAGGCAGAGGCAGGTGGATTTCTGAGTTCAAGAGTTTGAGGCTAGCCTCGTCTACAGAGTGAGTTCCAGGACAGCCAGGGCTACACAGAGAAACCCTGTCTCAAAAAAAAAAAAAAAAAAAGAGAGAGAGACAGGTTCTCCTGTGTCCCAGGCTGGCTTTGAACTCTCTATGGAGTCAAGGATGACCTTGAAATTCTGAGCATTTTGCCTCTACCTCCTTAGGGCTGGAGTTACAGGCATGTATGCCTAGGCAAATTTCTGTGGTGCTGGTAATTGAACCCTGGGTTTTGTGCTTGGTTAGGTTAGTACTCTACCATCTGAGACACGCTCCCAATCTAAAGGGTGCTACATATTTTATTTAACTGAAACAATTTTAAGTCTGTGGCTGGAGAGATGCCTCAGTCTCTAAGGCACTGATTGCTCTTGAAGAGCCCATAAGTTCCTAGTACTCATGTGGTGGCTCACAAACAGGCGTGATGTCGGTTATAGGTCGTAGGACATCCAGTGCCTCGCCTGGCCTCTGAAGGAGGGCCTCAGCAGACATGTGGTGCACATGCACACATACTCATATGGTGCACACAGATATACATAGAAATATTTTAAAACATTTTCAATTATTTTTAATTTTTATGTATATGAATGTTTTGACTATATGCTTGTTTGTACGTCAGTCGTGTCCCTGGAGGCCAGAAGATGATCCCCTGGATAAGAGGTTACAGATGGTTGTGAATCACCATGTGAGTGCTAGGAATTGAACCTGGGTACCCTGGAAGATCGATCAGTATGTTTAAACACTGGGCCATCTCTCCAGCCCTACATTTTTAAACTTATGCTTATTATGTTTACATTTGTCTATTCATTATGTCTATATGAATGTTCACATAAGCCATATGTTTGGAGTTAACATCCTTCCACCCTGTATGTCCCAGAAATCAAACCCTAGCAATCAGGTAAGTGTGTTTCCCACTGAGCCATCTTCCCATCCCCTGCCCCGCTTTTGGAGACAAGGTCTTACTCTGTCTCCCAGGCTGGCCTCCATCTATATCTGTCCTATTTCAGCCTCCTGGGCCCACTGATTACCAATGTGCTCCATCAGGCCTGGCCTCATCCTGTAACATATGCAGAAGAGATCACACCATTTACTACTTTGTCTCTTATATTTCATCCTGTAACTTATGCAGAAGAGATCACACCATTTACTACTTTGTCTCTTATATCTCTTTCTTTCTTTCTTTCTTTCTTTCTTTCTTTCTTTCTTTTTTTTTTTTTTTGGTTTTTCGAGACAGGGTTTCTCTGTGTAGTCCTGGCTGTCCTGGAACTCGCTCTGTAGACCAGGCTGGCCTCGAACTCAGAAATCCACCTGTCTCTGCCTCCCAAGTGCTGGGATTAAAGGCGTGCGCCACCACTGCCCAGCGTCTCTTATATTTCATTCAACATTTGTATCTCTTGTATTTCATTTAACATTAATTCTTCCTTTTTTTTTTTTTTTGCAAAAAGCTTTAGTTTCTTACAGCTCTGGTGGGTATTGGACTATTATGAATCCTAGATCACCAAACTTTCTCAAGCATGTAGATACATCTATATGTACACTTCTGTTGGAGACACAGCCAGAAGTAGTTGCTAGGTAACAGCAGACTGCTTATCCCTAGGCTCTCTGCACCCAACACAGTTCTCCACAGTGGCTGTACCAACCTCCCACTGGCTGAGAATTCCTTCCTGCCCTTCAGTTGAAAAACTTTCAGGATTGTTACTCGTTTTTTTTTTTTTTCTTAGTTTATTTTGTGTGTGTGTGTATTTTTTTTCAAGGATGACCTTGAACCCCTGTTCTTCCTGCCGCATTCCCAAGTGTGTGGCCTTGGCTACAATTGCTTTTAAGCATTTATTTTTTATTTTCCATGTACGGGTGTTCTGTCTGTATGAGTGTCTGTGTACTCGTATGTCTGTTGCCCTGGGAGGCCAGAAAAACCTGTTAGATCTCCTGCAAGTGAAGTTAAAGACAGTTGTGAGCTGTCCCGTGGGTGCTGGGAATAGAACCTGCCATCCCAGAAACAGCAACAAGTGTTCTTTAATTTCTAAGCCATGCCAAGCCCCTCCTCCTCTTCTTGTTTTGAACCGGAGTCTCACTATGTTTCTTTGGCAGGCCTGGAACTCAAGAGATGCACCTGCCTCTACTTTCAAGTTAAAAGCCTGAGCCATCATGCCTGGCTTGAACTGCATTTTTAAACCTTGTTTTGTGCCAGGACTTGGTGGCATAGGCTTTTAATCTCAGCACTCCAGAGGCAGACAGATATCATGAGTTCAAGGCCAGCGTGGTCTTCAAAGTGAGATCCAGGCAGCCAAGATTATATAGCAAAACTGTGTCTCAGGAAAAAGAAATACAATATATGTATATATGTATTTATTTATTTATTTTTTCTTTTTTTTTCGAGACAGGGTTTCTCTGTGTAGCCCTGGCTATCCTGGAACTCACTCTGTAGACCAGGCTGGCCTCTAACTCAGAAATCTGCCTGCCTCTCCCTCCCAAGTGCCGGGATTAAGGCATGCACCACCACTGCCCGGCAATTTTTGGTTTTTCAAGACAGGGTTTCTCTGTGTACCCTTGGCTGTCCTGGAACTCTCTTTGTAGATCATGCTGTGAACTCAGAGATCTTCCTGCCTCACCCTCCAGAGTTCTGGGATTAAAGGCGTTCGCCACCACCGCCTGGCTAGAAAACAAGTTTTTAAAATGTGTTTGTGAGCTGGGCATGGTGGTGGACACCTTTAATTGCAGGACTTGGGAAGCAGTGGCAGGCAGATCTCTGAGTTCAAGGCCAGCTTCAAGTTCCAGGACAGCCAGGGCTGCACAGAGAAACCTTATCAAAACAAAAAAAACAAAAAAACAAAAAAACAAAAACAAAAAATACTATCATCTTTTGGAGGCTGGAGAGATGGGTCCGCTGTTAGGAACGCTGACTGTTCTTCCAGAGGTTCTGAGTTCAATTCCTAGCAACCACATGGTAGTTCACAATCATCTTGTAAAGTGATCAGATGCCCTCTTCTGGTGTGTTTGAAGACAGCTACAATGTACTTTTATACATAAAATAAATAAATAATTTACAAAAATGTGTCAGTAATTTTGAGTGTGTGTCCCCTCGTGTATGTGTGTGTGATAAGAGTCAAAGGACTACTTGCAGAAGTGGGGGCTACAACTTAGATCCTCAGACCTGACAGCAAGATTCTTTACCTGCTGACAACATCTCATCTGCCCAGCTGCTTCTCCTGCTCCTCCTCCTCCCCCTCCTCTTTTCTTATTTTTTGAGGTGCTTTTTAATTGGTAGGTATATGCTCTACTATTGAACTACATACAACCTCTACATTTGTTTATTACCTGGGTATGTGACCCACAGGCATGCAGGGGCAAGGTGTAGCTGAATGTGTTAGCGCTGGAGGCCTTGGTTCCAACCCCAGCAACCCACATACACACAAAATTTTATTTTTCCTCTTAGATTTTTTTGGGACAGGGTTTGCAGTGTAGTCTAGGTTGGTCTGAAACCTGCGATCCTCCAACCTCGACTTCTGAGGGCTAAGATTTCAGGCTAACAGCCGGAGGTGGTGGTGCACGCCTTTACCCTTCCTTCCCAACTCTGGGAGGCAGAGGCAGGCGGAACTCCAGAGGTTAAGGCCAGGCTGGTCTATATACAGAGTGAGTTCCAGGACAGCCAGGGCTACACAGAGAAACCCCGTCTTAAAAAAACAAACAAAACAAGGTACAGGCTGAGCCAGCGCTTTTAACTTCTCTGACACAAACCCTTTTGAATAGATGGAACGCTGAGCCAAGTCTTCCCTCCTCTCCCCTCCCCCATCGCGACTTTTGTAATTTTCGCTTGGGAATCCCTTTTTTTCCAACATTCATCTGTCGCTCCAAGTGGCGATCTGCAGGCAGGGAAGGAGTCTAGCCAAACTCACGAGTTGGGTGGGGGTTGGGAAGAGTGAAAAGAATGTTCCAGGATGAGGTGAGGCAACAGCACGTATTAAGTCTTTGGGACGGCACACTGCGGGGTGAAGTGAAAGAAGAAGAACTCCCGATGGGGGCCGGGTAGTGTAACGCTGGGGTTCTGGGGGAGGGCAGGGCCACCAGCCACAGGCTCCCCAAAGCAATCCGGGGTTCAAAGGCAGTCCCGCGCCGCACCCGCAGGAACTGCCCCCTCCTCCAACGCCGAGAAGCCCCCGCCAAGAGCAACTCAAAGAAGTTTCTGCTGATTGGAGGGAGGGCGAGGAGGCAGGGAGAAGGGGCGTGGGGGTGTGTGTCCCACTGTCATGTAAATATCCCCCCCGGGCAGGGCGGCTGCGAGGCCGACTTAAACCTCCCGCACCTGAGGCCGCCTCAGTTCCTGCGAGTTTCTTCCTGCTGTGAACATCGGGGCTCTGGCCTCTGTCTCCCGGCCACCTCCCTCGCGCCATGGCCCCGAAGCGGCAATCTGCGATCCTGCCTCAGCCCAAGAAACCCAGACCGGCTGCTGCTCCGAAGCTGGAGGACAAGTCGGCCTCTCCGGGCCTGCCGAAGGGAGGTAAGTTCCTCCATTGCGTTTCCTTGGTGATCGACTCTGTGATTGGCTTTTTCTGTCTCCCCCCCCGAGACCCCCCATCCCTTTGGAGATGAGCTCCCCACAAACACTAGTGAAAGCCTTCGTCCCGGGGCGGCGGGGAATGAAGGTGATGTGGGAGAAGAAGGAGAAAGCGCGAAACTGGGAGACCCGTGCACAGGGGACTTCCTCCGGCCCGGGACACCACGTGGGACCCAGCTTTCCCTTCCCAGCCCCCAAACTCTCAAATGGGGCTTCTGTCCGGTAAAGGCAGCAGCTTGAGGCCTCCCCACCCCTCCAACCCCGAGTCTTGGAGATTCAAGCCTGCTCAGATGTCTCCCTGTTGCTGGAGCCGGCGGCCCACAGCTCTGGCCTGAATTACTGCCACCTCGTGTAGCTCCCCGCTTCCTTCTCCCATCCTGCCCGAGCAAAGAGCTAGTCACGTGGTTGTCTCCTAGACTTAAGACCTTGCCTCTCGATTGCCCTCCAGGTACAAACTAAGACTTCCGGTATCGGGGCCCCTGCCCACCTGGTTCCCACCCACCTCTCGGGGTTCCGCAAGGGGTGGTGTGGCCTAAAGGCCTGGAGCTGCTTTTTCTCACCTCCGAGCCTGGACACAGACTTGCCCTATGCCAAGAAACTCGTGTTTGAGGCGGCGGAGTGGGGGGAGTCGCTTTCCAGCTTCTCGCACGGAGCCTAAGCGCTCCTTATCTGAAGCGCTGCTGGCCGCACCCAGAATCGCCCCATGCTAGCACTTTCCTCGCTTTACATTCAGATAGTGGTTTTCGTGCCTGCACTTTTCGCCTTCCTCTGCTGACCTTGAGGGCTGCGTTTCTTAGGCACAGCTTCGAGTCCTGTGGTGTTTTCCCGCGTGGCTTGGGTCTGGTACAGGCAAGGAAGCAGAGGAGAAATAGGGATTTGGCATAAATCTAGAGGCACGGGTGGAAGAAACACTAGGCACTGAGTGGAGTCCGCATCGCTGCACTTCTGTGGACCTGTTTCTCTTTGCTATGTCTCAGCCCCTTACCTTTCATATGGCAGGCAAAGACCTGCCCTATGTCTCTAAGTGGTAAAAGACAGTCTCGATATGAAACCCTGGCTGTCCTGATACTCAGCCTTTAACATGCTGGGATTAAAGGCACCGCCACACCCAGAGAGATTTTTTTTGTTTTTATTTTTTTTTATTTTTGAAAGTTAGGGTTTCGTGTAGTTCAAGCTGGCCTCAAATTTGCAAGTGAGAATGACCTTGAACTTTCTGATCCAGGAAGCTGGGATTACAGGGTAGCACCATCACGCCGAAGGGTCTGGATAGATAGGGCCCCAAGCATGCTGCATGTACACATTCGGCAAACACCCTATCTTTTGCTGTGACTCGAGGGTAAATAAAACGCAGTTGAATGGGTGGTAAATCCTTTCCCTTTTGTTAGAAGCAAAATGTGAGCGAACCTTTCTGGTGTTACACATTTTTAGTCTGCTGGCAGAAATAGCTAAACCACAAGAGATGGGAACATGCCACCATAGTCCTCCTAAGTGTGCTCAGTGGACACAGGTTGGTTGACCTGCCAGGCACTGTAGCCTCACACTGGTATGGAGAGTGCAATGCTTGGGGGCTTCCTGGATGCACCAATGCTCAGGCTTCACTCGCATTTACAGTACCTCTTGCCTTTCTGCTTTATTAGTATGCTCCTTGCATTCATCTTGAGAAGTTCAGGGCCCAGTCAGAGGAAAGCCCGTGGGTCTTCTGTAGATCAGGCACTTGGTTCAATGCATGCTGTGGTCACAGGCACCAACCCTTAGACCAGAGGTGTGGTTGAAAAAACTTCAGTTTTCAGAGCAAGCTTCTTTCTACCTGGGAGTGGTCCATTAACTCAGTGTATCTAGGTAAAGAAGGAAAAATTGGAGAGGTGGTTCAGTGCGCAAGAGCACATTGGCCTTGCCAAGGACCTGGATTAAGTTTCTAGCACCACCATGGTGCCTCACAACCACCTGTAAAGTAACTTCAGCTCCGGGAGGGTCCTCTTCTGGCCTTTCCTTGCAGGTGGCACACTTAATACACGCAGATAGAACACTCTTACATGTAAAAAGTTTTAAAACTGTTTTATGTGTAATACAAAGGGAAAGAAACAGACATTCTTGGTGGTTTTTCCCCCCCAGTGGATGTGTGCCAAGTCTTGAGGTCAGTTGTGTCTCTTAAGCCACATTTAAGACATTAAGGGGTTTGGGGAGGTAAGAGCACAAGTTCAAGGCCACACACACCCTCAAAAGAAAAGAACTAATTTATGTTGGTTCATTCCCTAGTAAAGTTCTATTGCAGGTGGGCTGGCATGGGTGGCTGGCAGATGACAGCAGGCACTAGACCTAGGGGTCCATTCCCCATTAACTCTAGTTTATTTGTAAAATATATTTAGTGTCTTGTCTTGAAAGAGTTTGAGACAGGGGGCGTGGCTGATAGAGGACTTGCCTCTTAGGATCCAAGCCCTAGGTTCTATTCCCAGTTTAACCCTAAAGATTAATTATCTGTAAAAGCTACTTTGTATTTTATGAGAGTTACAGGAAAACACAGCCAAAAACAGCAAAAGCCTACTGGTGTGGTAGAGGGCTTCTATCACTAACCATCTTTCTTTAGAGTCACTGTAGCCCAGGCTGGCCTCTGCCTCGGTATAAGTCCTTACTTGCCTTATTTTGTTTATGGAATTTCTTTGCAACCATGCCAGGACCTCACAGAACTATCAGGAAACATTCATGGTGATGGCATCACCAGAGTTTTTAGCAAACGTTAGAGTCACAAAGTTTATTACTCTGCTTTTTTTTGTCAGACCCTTCCCTCTTTAAGGAGCCTGTCCACCGTTGCATGTATTAGAGGTCTCTGTGCTTGGGAGCTGTGAAAGGTCCTTAGAGGTTGTCTTTCGAGAGGTTTAAGCTTACTGATTGCAACAGATGAATGCAATTAATTCACCGACTTGAGCATAAGGTGCACCAGGAAGGCTTAGCTGAATTTTCTGGAGTTGAGATGGAAACTTGCATGAACACATTTGTATTCTCTCACCATTTATCGTCCACCCACCATGAATGTCTTGACTTAAAGCCACATTGCTTTTTGTATAAGAGCTGATAATAAAAGGGGAGTGTTGAAATACGCATGGTTCAAGCTAAAGCGGTAGAGCACCCAGGGAGAGAGCTTTCTGGCTTTTTCAGGACCACGTGTTAGGAACCAGGTGGACAGAACTACTTTTCAAGTCCTGAAAATGTGTTTAATCCGAAAAGCTCTCTCCGACATAATGTTTAAGGGCTTTATAATCTAAAGCTAGCTTTTTGCTGTTTTAGCCTTTTATGTTTAAGAAGCCTTAAACATTTCCCCATTTGTCATCAGCAAAAATGCACTTCCCTCACCACTGAGATCAGGACACCTGGTAGTTGAGCCGAAGGACCTGTGGCAAAAAGGTCCTTCCTACAGTCAGAGGACTTACACCTTTAGTGTGGTTCTGTTTGAGTGTCAATCTGTGACAGACTTTAAAAAATTCAGAACCGAGGGCAGAGGCTTGGCCCCTGCACACAACAGGGCCCTGTTGAGTAGACTGGCTAGATGAACTGCGTGCTTGTGGCTTTGCATACCAGCCTAGAGTTTGAGCGGGTCTAGAAAAAGATAAAGGTGCCCGGGGTGCAGAACTCAGGCCCCTGAGTGTAGCCAGGATACTCCTAAGGCCTGTACTTTTGAGGGGCTGCGCGCGCCCCCTCTCCGGAGCCCCCCGGCCACCCGGCAAAGGGAAGCCGCTCAGCCACCACGTGATGCGCGGGTATTGGAAAGGAGGCCCCGCCTCTCAAGTCACCGCGCGGCGCGCAAATGTCCCGGGTCGGCCGGAGAAGGGGAGAGCGGGGGAGGGGAGCACCGCGCGGGGGCCGGACCATGCGTCGCTTAGCCGCTTCCTCCCGCCGCTCGTCCAGGCCCCAGTGTCCCCACCGCCACCCGCCACGGTCCCGCCCCCTGGCCCACGGCCCCGGCCAATCGCTGCGCGGCGCGAGCCTCTCCGGCCGGGGGTGGTACTTACGCAGGCCTACCGCGCCTGCGCTTTGCGGACTGCCCCTAGTCGCGGAGAGGAGGAGGTGGTGGAGGAGGAGGAGGAGGCGGCTCAGGGCAATCGAGGAGCGAGCCGGAGCGCGGGGCGCGAGTCGAGGAGCCCAGCCGAGCCGCTGCCGCCTCCCCGCCTTCAGTGAGAGCCCCGGCCGGGGGCTCGCCACAACGCGCCCGGGCCTGCCTCGGCGTCAGGCCCCGCGGGCAGTGCCAGGCAGTCAGGGGGAGGGCAAGCAAGTGAGCGCCGGGAGGAGGCGGCCGGAGCAAGCGGGCGCCGCGCGTGTGGCGTGAGGGGAAGCCGCTGGCCGCCCCCTTGGCCGTCCCTTCGTTCCCCCTCCCCGCTCCCCGCCCCGACCGCAGAGGGCACCATGTCTGCGCCGACGGCCAAAGCCAGTAAAAAGGAGCTCAACTCCAATCACGACGGGGCCGACGAGACCTCAGGTGAGGACCGGGCGCGGCGGGGGCCCGGCCGCGCCGCCATCTTTCGGCCCGGGCCGCGGGGCTGTGGGGGGCGCGCGGGGGCCGCAGAGCCGGCGCCTTTTTGTGTGCGGCCCGGGACCGGGAGGCCGGGGAGGCGCCGTGGAGACGAGCGGTGCGGCCGAGGCGGGGGCGCTGCGGCCTGCGCGGCGGGCGGAGACCCCCCCTTTCCCCCGCCCGCGCTCTCCTCCCCCTCCCTCCCGAGAAGCCTCTCTTTATTGTGCTCCGCCATGATGCCTCGCTCCCATCAGCCGCCACCGCCGCCACATGGTGCGGCCGGACGCAGCCTTGCGGCCCGGCCTCTCGCGCCGCCCTGCTTCCCGCCCGGAGCCGGAGCTACGGCGGGACCGGGAACCAGGGTCTGGGGCGGGGTAGGGACGCGGAGCCGGCGGGAGGATGCTCCTGGCTGCGCGGGTTGCACACCCCACGTGGGGCAGCCACACTCGGGGCGCGCCGGGGATTCGAGGAATCTGGCCCGGAGGCCGTGCGATGCAGGGGCTTCTAGGGCCTTGAGGACGTCTAGCTCTTGCCTGGAGGGTCCTTTCGAGCCGAGGACAGCAGCAGACCCCGGGCTAGTTACCGGAAACGAGCCGCGCGATCTGGCTCCTTCACGCCCACTTGGCTTTGTAAAAGCCTTACAACCCTCCTTGGACAAAAGGGCACAAAATAGGAGCACACCTCCTCTTTATGCCTCCTAGTTTTTGAGTGGGTTTTTCCCAGAAATGTGTTCAGAAATCCTGCACGGCCGTGTGTATGATCACCAATCCCATCAAGAATGGGTTGGAGGAGTAAGGTCAGGTTGGAATCAGGTTTACATTCTAAGTCTGCAAAAACGATTGTGGTAGTTGGTGACCAACTGGTCTTTGTCGGTGTATGTTGATAATCATAATACATTGAGAGCACTGAGGGTTTTGTTTTGTTTTTTAAAGCGGTTGTACCAGTTGGTAGTATCCTAATTTGTATTACGGCCATGGAGTAGTTTCCCCACTAAGTTAGCAGCTGGCACCATTCTTTTGCAATTGTATAATGTGATTAGTAATAAACATCAATTCTTGAATGAGGGTAAGCCTCTGGTTCACCTTTCATAATGAAGGCCAATGATTGGGCCTTTGTGACAACTCTTTAAAAAGTGTCCAGTAATGAAGCATTTTTCCGAGTAGCAGAGTAGATACCTTAATTTGTGAATGGTAGAGTAATGAGAAAGTAATTTGTCAACTGCGTGCTTGAACACGTGGGAAGCATGCTTTGTAGTAAGCGCATTTCTAGCAGCCTTGCTGTCATTCCCATCATAGGATCAGGAAGTGTAGCTTGTAATTAGTATTGAGTCTTATGTTTCCTTTTGTTTTGCAGAAAAAGAACAGCAAGAAGCAATTGAACATATTGATGAAGTGCAAAATGAAATAGACAGGTAAGATATATTGAATTCATGTTACGGAAGGTCTCTCAGAATTGATTGACCATTAGTTAACTACAGGAAGGTTTTGGTGAACACACTCAAAAGTCCTGTTTCTCAGTCTGGTTATAATTCCTGGGTTAGAGTACCTCAACCTTGCAAGATGGAGGGGTATGTAGGCTGGGTATGCTTTCAAAGGCTACAGAATTGTCGTTTGTTTGTTTGCAACAATGTTGCTTGTTTCTTGATTAACCATCACTTACACTTTCTGGTACTGAAATACAATGTTGCCAATACTGGAGATAAGCTGAGTTAGCTTAGTGGTTTTGGTTTCCAGAGGACTGGGGCTGAAGGGCACCAGATACTCTGTTCATAAAGGGGAGAAAAAGCAACAGTGTTACCAGCATGTGAGTTGGGTATTTAGCCATACCATTTTTTTTGTTTTGTTTTGTTTTTTTCAAGACAGGGTTTCTCTGTATATCCCTGGCTGTCCTGGAACTCACTCTGTAGACCAGGCTGACCTTGAACTCAGAAATCCGCCTGTCTCTGCCTCCCAAGTGCTGGGATTGAAGGCGTGTGCCACCACCGCCCGGCCCATTTTACCTTCTTAAGTGTTGATTATAGTCTTTATTTGTTTCAGACTTAATGAACAAGCCAGTGAGGAAATTTTGAAAGTAGAACAAAAATATAACAAACTTCGCCAACCATTTTTTCAGAAGAGGTCAGAATTGATCGCCAAAATCCCAAATTTTTGGGTAACAACATTTGTCAACCATCCACAAGGTATGTGGTGGGTCAGCCTTGCCGAGGTGTGCAAGGGCATTGGTCCTGGAGTTTGGGGAGATCTGGGGGCAGTTAACCTCAGGACAAGAATGTTCTTGCGGTGATGGGTTTAGTAGGAGAAAGAGCAAAGTTGAAAGTTGTTCGCTGAGTTTGTCAACATTTAAAAGGGTCCTTAAGTAGTTACCCGTTCAGACTTGAACTGAACTGAGTTGCTTCTCTAGTGTCTGCACTGCTTGGGGAGGAAGACGAGGAGGCTCTGCATTATTTGACCAGAGTTGAAGTGACAGAATTTGAAGACATTAAATCAGGTTACAGAATAGATTTTGTAAGTACCTAACATGCTGCTCGCATTGACAACGAGAGTGTGCTTTAGTGTGCGAACTGCTCAGTGATTTCTTTCTCATCTTTCCATCTTTTACAGTATTTTGATGAAAATCCTTACTTTGAAAATAAAGTTCTCTCCAAAGAATTTCATCTGAATGAGAGTGGTGACCCGTCTTCAAAGTCCACCGAGATCAAATGGAAATCTGGAAAGGTATTCTGTACATCATGGCTTAGCTGAATCTCCTGACCAGCACTCAGTGCCTTAGATTCTGGGTAAAATGTGCAGACATTCCAGTGTGCAGAGGAATATGGTAGTGATCCCAATGCGATAATGATCTCACAGCGCTTGTTCTCATGCTGCAGTGTTGGCCCTGCTCAGGCTTCCCAGTCTCCATTTGTAGAATTTGGTTGGAGGTAATTTTATGAAGGCAGACAGTTGTTAGTTAGATGCATCCTGTGAAAGCAGTTTACACAAGGCTTTGCCAAGTGCACATTTATAATCCTTAGTAATACGATCTTTACTGGACTTTGTTGTACTTTATGTGGGGTTTGAGTATTATGGGGAACAAATAAAGGGAGTGTTTATGTTTTCATTTAGGATTTGACAAAACGCTCAAGTCAAACGCAGAATAAGGCCAGCAGGAAGAGACAGCATGAAGAGCCAGAGAGCTTCTTTACCTGGTTTACTGACCATTCTGACGCAGGTGCTGACGAGTTAGGAGAGGTCATCAAAGATGATATTTGGCCAAATCCCTTGCAGTACTATTTGGTGAGTTAATGCTCAGTGGCTTGAAGAAGGTAATGTATCCAACAGAGTGAGTTCATAAAAGAACGTTGCCTGGTGTTTTCAGGTTCCCGATATGGATGATGAAGAAGGAGAGGCAGAAGATGATGATGATGATGATGAAGAGGAGGAAGGGTTGGAAGATATTGATGAAGAAGGAGATGAGGATGAAGGGGAAGAAGATGACGATGAGGATGAAGGGGAAGAAGGAGAGGTAAGGAAACAGTATACCGAAGCCCTAGTGATTTATAGAATGTAATAGTAAAATCTTACAAAATAATATGTATAATATTGCAACTGGCTAAAATAGTGTGACTATTGGGGTTAACATCTCTATGGAGTGTTAACATCTCTGAGCCTTCCCTCATTTTTAAATGTAATTTTATACACATGGGTGATTAGCCTACATGTCTGCACTGTGTGTGTGACTGACCTTCCAAGGATAGATAGTATCCTATGATGTTGAAGTTATGGGTGACTGTGAGCCACTGTGGGTTCTGAGGGCCCAAGGTGAGAGCATGCTTTCCCCAACAGTGCCAACTTAATGAAGATTCCTATTTAGGAAAGCTGGGTGTTTGAGGTCCATTCTCCATCCAGAGTCTAGAGAAAGGGCTCAGAATTCGCCCTGGTGGTGACTGTTTGCTCCCTTGTTCTTTCAGGAGGATGAAGGCGAGGACGACTAGCACAGAAGATTGATGGATTCCAACCTTTTTTATTTTCTTTTTATTTTTTAATTTTCTCCAGTCCCTGGGAGCAAGTTGCAGTCCTTTCCGCCCTGTCCCTCTGTGCTCAGTTGCCCTGTTTTTGAGGTCTCAACATCATGGTTCTCAACTAATTTGGGAAAAAATATCTTGAGCAAATACAACAAGAAAAGAATATCCATGTTTCTGTTCTAAATTCATTTTTATCCTTTCTTGTCTCAAAAACTTGTGGATCCAACACCACCACCATGCTCTGGGAGAAAAACAAAAGCCTTCCAGTTCCCTTGGCTCTGCTGGGGGCTGGAGGGTGCTAGGCCCCTGGGTAGTAGTGTATAGAATTCTAGCTTTTTTTCTTTTCTCTGTGTATTGGGCTCAGAGATTACACTGTGTCTCTATGTGAATGCAGACAGTTAGCATTTACCAACACATACCTGTCTACTTTCTCTTGTTTAATAAAAAAAAAAAAAGAAAAAAAAGGGGGGGTATAGACGGTGAGCAAGGGTGGGTTTGAGGTGTCGGGGGGTAGGTGGGCATCTGACAACACGGCTTCTCCTTTGGCATGTTTAATTGTGATGTTTAACAGACATCCTTGCAGTTTAAGGTGACACTTTTAAAATAAAATTCTCTCCTGACGATGACTTGAGCCCTGCTACTCAGTGGGAGAATCAGCAGAACCTGGAGGGTTTTATTTGGAGTTGACATTTTCTGTTGTAACTTTATTTTTTTTCTTTTTCGGTTTTCACTGGAAGGAAAAAGATGCTCATTTTAATTGTTGAAGTGTACAAGTTGCTTTGTTACAATAAAACCAATGTGGACACAAAGGGCCTGATGCCTTTCTGTCAGATCAAGTGGACACAAAGGACCTGATGCCTTTCTGTCAGACGCTCAACAGACCTTCCAAGTTTGACCTGCGTAATGATATCATGTCAAACTTTTTCTCCCTAAATTCGTATTTTTTGATACGCACTTTGCAGGATGACCTCAGGGCTGTGCAGATTGAGTTGGAGGGATTTGAATCATGTCTTAACGTCTCTGTAACTGGGCACAGCTTGCTGCCGTGGACTTGTACCCTTGATTTCTTTTTTTAATCTCAATTTGGCATTTTTTTGTTTTGTTTTCTAAAAAAAAAAAATGAGCCTTTATTTACCTGGACCTCATGGCAGCGCCTGCTCCTGCAGTCACTGACCTGTTGCTCTCTGCCATTTACGGACAGCTACTGGTGTGTCTTCATTGGCAGTATGAACTGGCCAAGAAGGTGGGCTGTCAGGGTAAGCAGTGAGGTGGTCGGTAGTGACTGTCACAGGTATGGAACGGAAGCTCTCAGATGTGACTCTGGGTAGATGAAGAACTGTCTGCTCACACCATTGTGCAGAGAATAATGAATGGTTCAGGGAGCTACCTGATGCATAAGCCTTTTAATGCTGTAAAATAGAGCTAAAGTTAAATGCCACTTTTTCAGAGATGATTAATGGACAGCCTGGTCAAATTCAAAGCTTTCTGATGTATAAAACTTTATAAATGGAACTACTCCATCAATAGGCAACGTGTAACCAAAATCTGTCTAGATGGATAGTGTGTAATTTCTGCACAGGACTGTTTAGTAAATACATCACTGTATACGTCAGGAATCTTGCTCCAATAAAGGAACATAAAGATTTTTTTTTGGACTGGGGTCATTCTCCTTGTTTTGTAGTGATTTAGAAGATGTATTAATGGCTGTGCTACTGGCTTGGCAGTAATTATGGCCCAAATGGCGGGCAGAAGGTTGAGTGATTCTGAATGTGGTTGGGGAAGGGTGCTGATCTAGAATTCAGCAAATGCTGACCCCAGGGGAGAGTGTATGTGTGTGTGAGTGACAATAGCATTGTGTCACTAAGCTATGTCTATAGCCCCCTGCCCCTCCCCGCCTTTAATTGTTTTTGCTAGTATACCAGTTCCTTATTTTTACATGTGTGTAGGTTTTCTGCGATCTGTTTGCCATCACCCTCGGGTGTCTCCCTGTATTTGCAGCACGGTCTCTCTGAGCTCCATACCTGTGCTCCATACCTATAGCTCAGATGATCCTTGAATTTTCACTTACTCCAAGTATCTGGGATTATAGGACTCAATATTGAGAGGGCTTTTTGAGGGGAAAAGACCTACAGAGAACTTGGATTCAGGAAGGGGAAGGGGGTTATGTGAGAACTTGTAACTAATTTTGTATCTCTCTTTTTTTTTTTTTTTTTTTTTTTGGTTTTTCGAGACAGGGTTTCTCTGTGTAGTCCTGGCTGTCCTGGAACTCACTCTGTAGACCAGGCTGGCCTCGAACTCAGAAATTCGCCTGGCTCTGCCTTCCAAGTGCTGGGATTAAAGGCGTGCGCCACCACCGCCCGGCAATTTTGTATTATTTATTTCTGAGTATTTTGCTTGCTTGTATGTCTGCATGAGGAGCAGTTTCCTGGGAGGCCAGAAGGGGGAGTTGGCCTAGAGATTCTAGCTCCTCTGCTAACCCATCTTCCAGCCCTTTTTAATTGTCAGCCTTCCAAATAGGACTAGAGGCATCAATTACACTGTCTACTTAAAGTTCCATAATGATTTGGGGAATGGGTTGTTTTGAGGGTAACGATTTGGTCCCAAATATTGTCACTGCCTCACAAAAGAATCTTCAACTGGGAGATGAGCAAGCCAAACCTGGGTTGCCCTAAAAGGTTATATGAGACATAACAGGCCATACTGCTTCACTACTGACCTCTTACACTGGGTTTGAGAAGTTAAGGTTTCATTGTTTTAAAATAAAATACTTAGCTGGATGGGGTGGCACATGCCTTTAATCAGAGTTCCAGACACAGGCTTGTTGAGAAGCTATCTTTCTGCAGCTGCAACAGCTAGTGAGCTGCTTCCCACTCCAGTTCCCACAGCAGCATTCCCTGTTGTCTGGCATGCTGGGGGCAGACACAGGACGATCTGAGTTCAAGGACATCCAGGGCTGCACAAAGCTCCATTTGCTTTGGTTTGAGACCAGCCTGGTCTACAGAGTTCCAGGACTGCCAGAGCTAAAAAAAAAAAAAAAAAAAAAGCAGAACATAGTCTATGGGTATGAAGGTTTAAGTTTTGGAGACAGTAAAAGTTCAAGAACATTTGACTCTTGCAGATGACCTGGCTTTAGTTCTCAGCACTCACATGACTGCCAACAACCATCCAATTCCAGTTCTGAAGCATCAAGTGAATTTTTTTTTTGCCTCTGTGTACATATGGCACTGATGGAAGCAAAACATCCATAACAAAAAATATAACAAAATTAAATGTTACTTTGTAGGGGGAAGGGCCTGGAGAGTTGGCTCAGCAATTAGAATCACTGACTGCTCTTCCTTTGTCTTGGGTTCAATTCTCAGGAACCACATGGGACTCATAACTACCTATAATGGAATCCAATGCCCTCGTGTGTCTGAAGACAGTGACAATGTACTCACCACAAAACAATAAAATCCTGTAAAAATTATTTTGTGTGTCAGTGTTGCTGAGTTTGTGTATGATGTAAGAGTGTATCCCACGGGAGTGGGTACCCTGGGGCTGGATTTGGAGTTATTTGTGAACCACCTGATAATGTGGTAGGATCCATCCAGCCTCTGGTATGCAGATGCTTGTAATCACCGAGCCATTTCCTGAGCACACATTTAATTCAGGGTGGGTGGTATTGTTTGTGTGTGTGTTTGCATATCTTTTGAGGTGTCTATACCCCTGGCTGGTCAGGTATCCAGAGATCTTTCTGGGTATTGGGGTTAAAGGCATGCTTTACCATCCCCATATCAAAATATCCGGTCTAATGAGTTACAGTTAATTGTGTGGTTAGAGCAATTACAGAACGGTTTCCCAGCTCAGGCTATATCTGTACTGATTATACCAGAGGCCTAGAGGGGGTACCCTGTGTAGAACCTGAGGCACCTTCAGGTTGGTCAGTCTTAAAGGTATTAAGTGTGGAGCCATGTACTGGATGCTGGGCTTGCAGTCTGTCTGCCTGAGAATTTGAGCATACTTGCTTGCATCTGATGCCTTAATGGCTTCTGCTCCCAACCCCTTCCGTGTGATGATGGACTTTCCCATTGAGCTTCCTGGTATAGAGGACCAGTTCTGAAGCAGTATTCTATAGAAGGCTGGGGGGCTTTCATCTGTGGTGCACTGTTTGAATATAATGTATAGAACCCAGTGCCATGGAAGAAGGCAAGGAACATGCACACACAGAAACTTTTAACCACTTGGAAACTATAGTCACTACCTTGAGAGTTAGGGTTGAGGGCTGTAATCACATGTACAGACAACTTGGTTGATTTTTTTTTTTCTTTTGAGTTGGGTTTGTGTAGCCTTGGCTGCTTGGGATATTATACTGGGCTATCCTTGAGCTCTGATACCCACCTTCCTCTCATGCTGGGATTGAGGGCATGTGCCATCGTTCCTGGCTCCATTTAAAATGACAGTTTTTGTTTGTTTTTTTGAGACAGGGTTTCTCTATGCAGCCCTGGCTGTCCTGGAACTCACTCTGTAGACCAGGCTGGCCTTGAACTCAGAAATTCGCCTGCCTCTGCCTCCCAAGTGCTGGGATTAAAGGTGTGCGCCACCACTGCACAGCAAAATGATAGTTTGATGCTTTTCTGATTAATCTTGGACTCCCATGAGCATCAGCCAGTGCTGGTTCTCAGATCGTGTGTGTGTGTGTGTGTGTGTGTGTGTGTGTGTGTGTGTGTGTGTGTGTGAGCTGGTTCTCAGATCGTGTGTGTGTGTGTGTGAGAGAGAGAGAGAGAGAGAGAGAGAGCGAGCGTTTGACAGAGAGGACGGGGATGTCCTTGTATCCTTGGCTGTCTTGGAAGTGGGAGTTAGATCTATCATTTGAAGTCCAGGGACTTCATTACTGGCAGCAAAATCCCTTTACACACAGCCACTGGTCCAAAGGAGAGTTCTGAATCAGATTATTGGCTTAGCTTCTAGGAGTAGAAGTAGTACTTTCTGTTAAGTCTTACCTGAGCTTTCCTGTTAAGAGGTCCACCTGATAAGGTTGGATAGTGGTGGTGCCCATCTTTAAAACCAGGACTTGGGAGGCAGAGGTGGACAGATCTCTTGTGTTCTAGGTCAGCCTGGTCTACAGAACCATTCTAAGACAGCCAGGGCTACACAGAGAAACCCTGTCTCAGAAAAGAAAAATAATCCATCCGAATGGTGGAATTACAGACATAAACCACTGGGCCCCTCTTGAAATACCTTTAACCTGTGAACTGTAACACTAGCAACTCAGAGAGATTTATTGGTGTGATTCATGGTTTTTATAAGCTTCGGTCCTTTTTCTTATTGTCAGAGGTTCTTTTAGTTCTAAATGGAAGGTGAAGCCATGGACGGTGAGACATTTAATCCCAGAACTGCACATTAGGCCTTGGCTCACACCTGTAATCCAGCTGAGAGAACTCAGGAGAGATCAGTTGGAGAACCTCAGTCCTCAGGCCGGTCCGAGTTGCAGGTGATTCTGTTACAAAGGAACGAGGTAGAGGCTCCAGAGATGCCTCAGGGATTTAAAACACTGCTCCTGCAAAGGATTTGGGTTTGATCCCTAGCACCTACACGGACTGAATGTCTTCTGACCTCCAAAGATACCAGGCATCCACATGGGACACACGCACACATGCACGCGGACAAAACATTCCTACAGGCACATAAAGAAATCCTAAAAAGTTTTTTTAAAATTTATTTATTTTATGTATATAAGTACTGAAGCTGTCCTCAGACATACACCAGAAGAGGGCATCAGATCCCTTTATAGATGGTTGTGAGCCACCATGTGGTTGCTGGGAATTGAACTCAGGACCCCTGGAAAAGCAGTCAGAGCTCTTAACCGCTGAGGCATCTTTCCAGCCCCCTAAAAAGTTTTAATAATGAAAGTAGCCCCCTACCTAGGTGTTGTGGCACACACTTATCCCAGCACTTGGGAGAAGTCCCGCCCTCACTCCCAGCCCCTTAAAAAACCAACAAGGTGGCTTCTGAGGACTGATCTAATCCTTGAGCTCGCAGCACTTTACTGAACTCCCTCCTCAGCCCCTACGGTAAAATCAGAACCTTGACTCCCGCTGAGTCAGAAAATGCGTTTCGCTCGAGGCTCAGTTGGTTTGTATATTATTTGGATCTGGCCATAATTTGGGTCAAGGTTTACTCTGTGACCGGATCAGGCCCCAGCGCCCGCTGCGGGCAAAGCTGGAGCAGAAATGGCCCTCGATTTTCCCATCTCTAGGAAGAACAGATGCTGTGCAGAGCGTGAATCGCCACCGCGGGAAGGGGACCGGGATCCGCGGAGTTGAACTCGGGAGTAGGGTCCGGGGCGCTGCTTCCGCGCGGCCGGGAGGGGGCGCTGCTCCCCAGCACCTTCGGGGCGCGCGAGTCTCCGGAGGGGGCGCCCGTCCGCGTGTCCCGCGCCACTTCCCGGGAAGTTTCAAGTTTGAAACTCGGGCGCTGAGGCCCGGGCTTCCGGCACCGTAGAGGAGGAGAGGACCGCGGGCAAGGCGCCATGGAGCCGGAGGGGGCGGCGCGCCAGGTGAACCAAGCGTGTGCAGCGGCCGCGTTTGCAGCTCGCAGCACCCGGTGCTCGGATCTTCACCCTACTCTGGCCTCTCTGCCTGAACCCTGGGTTAAGACGCTCTTAACCCAGGTTC